GAAATGTGCAACAGAGCTGTGTCAATATGGGTCATAAGAATTATGTTCATGGTCTAAACAAATGTGAAGAACTGGCTGGTGAGGGCCACCAAACTGCCCTGCCAACAAATTATTTGAAGGGTGCCACATTGTGTGCTCATTCTTGATAATTTTGTACTTTCTGCACAAGGACCTCAGTTTCAGTTCCAGTTTGTGCTAAGCTAAGCTAAACTGCTGGCCCTAGCTTCATACTTCTAACTCTCTGTAAGAAAGGGAATAAGGGAATATAAATTCCCAAAATGTCAAACTATTCCTTTTTATTGGCAAAAGTAGTAATGATGAGTAGACAAAACACTGGAGTCCTGTAATCTGGAATTTATATCTGAAAAACTACCAAAGAAATGGAATGAAATAGCAGTTACCTTTATTATTGTAGTTGATAGAATTGTGTCAGAGAAGTTTTACGATTGCCGATGTCTATGCCTATATAACATAGCTAACTAGCTATTTGTTTCTACTGTAGCTTGATTTTCCATAGCAAACTACAGGAAGAAATAAGATAAAGGATTCATTTCCTCTGAAATTTGTTACATTGTCCAGCGTAATGGTAAAAACATCCTCACATTTTAATGTACTGGTGTGCTTGTAAATCATCAGCTTGCTTCTCTGCGTTTCTTTCACTCTCATCTAGTGACATTTGGTTTTTATTTGTCTGGTGGCAGCTGTTAATTTATATGTGTCTAATCCCTTTTAATACGGTGTAATGCGTCTCGTTTGTGGCCAGACACAGTGATTGCATTCCAGAGATGGAAAGTGTTGCAGTGCATTCCTGGAGGTTTATTTGATCCTCTTCATTCTCAACTTTTTATTGGACACTCATGATGCCATGGCATAGGAGTGCTTTGGAGCAGGGTAAAAGGCACCATGAGAATGAGCCCCCCACCTCTTTGGAGCAAAATAAGGGAAATCCAAATACTTCACTTTCCCACCATGCTTTAAATTTATTTATGTTAAATATAAAAGACATTTAAAACTATGAAAAGCAACACAAGAGTTTTGAGAATAGCGTGCCCTTTCCTATCAGATCATGCATGTGCACAGGCTCAGCAATGGTGCTAATATTGGCCATCCAACATATCAGTTTTTGTCATGATCCTTGCAGGCAGTGAGAGATTAAACTCCATGTTCTTGGCCTGTAGATATCAGGATCAAGCGTCGCCTAGTCCTGTAGTCAAACTGTCCTTGCATTTTGCTCTTGGCTGTGTTTAGCTCTTTGGGTAAGATCATTAAGCTTGTTCCTGTTCTGGCTCACTTTACTCTTTTCATCCTACAGGTGAGCATCTCTACTGTGGGCTATGGTGATGTTGTCCCTATCTCCTATCTTGGACGCTGCGTGGCATTTGGCTGTATCTCTTTTGGCATCATTCTCAATGGCATGCCCATCTCCATTCTATTCAACAAGTTTTCTGACTACTACGCCAAACTGAAGGAACAGGAATACAGTGTTTCAAACACAGAGCGCGCCTTCCAGCTCAAGAAACGTCTGAGGCGCAAGTTAGACAGCTGCTTTGAACCCCAGCCAGAGGAGTCTGAAGATGAGATTCGCTATTGGCCCAGGGAAAGGCAAAGTATCCATGAGAATGAGGATTGAGTTGCCAAGTTGCAAACTTGCTAACCTTAAATGGCCTTATCACCCATGGGTCTAGTAAGGGAAAGACTCCACCTGCCTCCAAGTCTGAGCCTATGTGGTTCAAGATAAACAATTTAATGGAGTAAAAGGAGGCAGCAGCAAGTTGAGATAAGCTTTAAACCTCAACTTTACAGTAATGACTCCTCAGCAGTTGTGGATTGGCCACAGGGAAGTTTGGGAATTTTACTGGTGGGCCAGTCTTGTGAGGGCCGAGGGCCAGCCATTTCCCCCCAAAACCTGGCATGTTATAGCGTAGACCAATATACAGATATTCAATAGTTCAGCTGCAGCAACATGGCTGTTGCAATATAAAAGCAGGTAGCAGTGCCATCAAAACTGACAATGAAAGTTTTGAGCACTCAGACAGTTAGCATCTAGCACTCGTTAAAAGGGTTAAAAGTAGGCCAAGTAGCACTCCTTGCCGAAACATGGATAGAAAGAGAAAACCCGAAGCCGGCGGTGCAGTGAAGGTGCGCCACAAAAAAAAAAAGGCTTTGCTGGCTGACGCTGCATAATGTGCTTATATAATTAATTTTTTTAAGCAGTCTGCAGGTGATATTGATGACAGCAGCAAAGAGGCAGTGAATAGTGAACTGTTGTCATGCTGACATGCTGTGAAGTAGCTAATATTGTTTATTAACCTTGGGGTTTCAATGCTAGAGTCCCGCTGCAGGTTTGACCATTTCCAAGGTTTAGCTAGTCAGACTCAGTGCACAAATGTTTAGAGTTAAATGTTTATGCAAAATTTCTCTAAAGTTGGTCATCAACATCGACTGTAAATGGGTACAATAAACATGTAAATTTGATCATCATGATTTCTTCTAGACGATGCTACTCATAAATTATTTTTTGCATTATAGCCTAGCCTATAAGGCGTATATTATTTGTTAGACTGCCAAGCAATACAAAATATATCTTTAATACTTATTCACAAACATGGGGAGGAAAATTAGTTTCAGAATTTACATATTACAATATGTAATATAGGCCTACACTGCAAATTTACAGATTGTGTTTTTTGTTTTTAAATTAATGATTCTTCAAATTAGTTGTATCAAATTTGTTATCTGTCCGCCCCTGCTCCTCAGTCAAATGGGCTCAATTTATTATCTGTTTAAGACCAAGAGGTCAAGCAGTAGCATTATTGATGAAACAATGTTATACTTTAATCACGTTAAAGGGAGCATTATGCTTTTGAATAACTGTTTTCATTGGAAGTGGTATTAATACATTTTAAGACAACTAAATGGTCTGTTGTGTTTTACTTTACGTTCTTGATACGCCGCAGAAAAGACAGTATAACTATGATTTTCTTGGGTAAAATGTTTGGCCACCAACCACTTTGTTATTAGTTTTTTTTATTGCTTTTTTAAATGATAAACATACATAAAAACACATACAGAATGCACCACCCTCCCCAAAAAGTATATAAATAGAAACAATAAATAAGGTGAAGAAAAGAAAAATAGGAAGGACTAAATGCAGAAAACTCAAATAATACAAGATTAGCCTACATTTCCCAGTTTTGTTCTACTGTTAACAACTCAACCAGATTCATCTCATTGTGAACTGTAGTCAGTGTCTTCCACTTTTATGGCCTAAGGAAATACAAATATACATGCACTGAAGCACTGAAAACCTCTCGGTTTTATGTGCACCTGAGGAAAAAAACATCTCCGGTGCAAAGCTCTCCCATGTGCCATTCTTGATGAGTCAGCAAAGTGATATTCTTATCAAAGCACACTCTAGTCACTCAGCATGCTCTTGACTGTACCTAAGTGGGAGGAGAAGCAGAGCAGTGGGTGTGTCAGTAGTGATCAGGAGCATGAGAGTAATTTTGTTGTCAAGGATTTCCGGGATTTGCGTTTGCGCCTCCTCCCTGGTCAGACAAGGGGAAAAGTCAATTATGTCCTGTGCTATTCTGGTGGTACAGAAAATCAAATCAGGTGCACACAATCAGGTCAGTTATGCTGTAGATCCCTCAATTAAGTAAATTGAGGTAAACCATTATTCATGTTTACTAGTTACACATGGGCAATGGTGCTAACATTGGCCATCCAACATATCAGTTTTTGTCATGATCCTTGTAGGCAGTGAGAGATTAAACTCCATGTTCTTGGCCTGTAGATATCAGGATCAAGCGTCGCCTAGTCCTGTAGTCAAACTGTCCTTGCATTTTGCTGTTGGCTGTGTTTAGCTCTTTGGGTAAGATCATTAAGCTTGTTCCTGTTCTGGGCAACGGCTCTCCATACACCAGAGGGTTCAGGTGTCCTCAGGACTGTCCTGTCCAGGGCACAGGTCTTAAACAAAAAGAAAGGATTTTAAAGCAAAATAAGATATTGAATTATTCATAAGAAATGTCAGCCCCCACCCCCTTTACAGCTGTACTGATGAGGTGTTGATGAATAACCTCTGATTTACAACAACAGATCCGTATAAGGTATTGGACCTTGACCTCATCCATATGAAACATAATTAGTGACAGTACAGTATGTTGTATCTTAATTTAATCAGGGTGAATCATCGTTATAACATTACTAATGCTTCTTTGTTTTTGTTTTGAGTTTTCTGCAAGTCCAAAAAAACGTCTTAAAGAATAAGAATTTGTTCAAAAGTGACAGATGTTTCCAATGTCTGTTTACATTATGTTTGGTGAGTCACTGGGTGAAATCCATTGAACAATTTAACAGCTGTTATGCATTAAAAAGTGCAAACAAAGGGTGACTAAAGAAGGACACATTGATACATGATATATTTAATTTCACAGGCATTCCTAGTTATTTCATTCCTTTTTCAGATATGAAAATCTATTTATTACTCAGTGGTTGTAAAAAAAAAAATTGCTTTGCTATGTGCAAATATTGTAAAATGTGTAATTTTTTGTCCATGCAAACAAAACAATCACAGGCTGGAAACCATGTAACACACAGATTTGATGATATATTAAAATATATACTTGTTCTCAATACCCTTAAAAAGTGGAAAAATCATTTTTTGCTCAATTAAAAAAATCTTCTTCATAGTACTCTTGTATTTATCAATGTATCATTATCATAATCATCCACGTGTCCTTTAAATACAAGAAACTTGATGTCTAAGTCTATTAACAGACACTTATCTCATTTGGCTGAGGTGCTGCCTACGTAATAGTCTCTCGGGACAAGGTAATGGGAGAGAAGCCAGTGGTTCAATAGTGTCGTCAGGTTCAATTAAAACTCAAGAGTACTAAGAGATTCTGGCTGTCTCATGTGACTCAACCAGGACTGAATGGACAGGAATAGATGCAGTCAAGATCATCATCAGGGAAAGGTCAGTAAGACAGATGGGCAGACAGATAAACAGATACATTGTTGGGGAACAGATACAACTCATCAACTAAAACAATTGCATATAAAAACTAATATTTGATATCTAAACTTTTACTCAGACCTACGAAACTCACAAACAGCAAGGATCAGATCATCCAATGATTTGTGCTCCATGTCTCGTACAAAAAGTTCAATTCAACTGTTTGCTGCTCCCTGATAAAATAAAAATGTTTCTGCTGATACCTGTTCAGAAAACAAACAAACAAGAAAACAGATTTATATATGTTAACCTGTTGCTCATAAGGTGCCTGTTATGATGTTATGATCGTTGCTCTGGACTCTAACTTGTCTTAACAAGCTAGATAAAAGGTAATGCCCTGGCAGTGGCAAATAACTTTGGTTTTATATTTGATTTGATTCTATTAATGTTTAAGTTGAGATTACAAGAAATATTTTATTGCTACTGTGTAAAGGGAATACTGTTGGTAAAAAGAAACTCATTTGTTTAAAGTGTTTACAAACCACATGTTATTGCACTTTTGTGTATTAAAACAGTACATTTAAGTTAAAAGTGTGCAATACACTACTTTAGAATTCATTATTCAATTTTGTGCATAACTATGGGATTAATCACAGAAAATCATGCAATTAATCGTGATTAGAAATTTTAATCGCCCAGTTCTAGTAATAAGTGATTTAAAGTTATAAGTGTGAGTAAACATGTGGTATTCAAACAGCCAGTGGCCACACGGCACAACATTAATTGAAGTCGAATTGAAGTTCAGTTTTCACTCTCCTTTTAGCTCTGTTTTGGTCTCCACCAACTCCTGAGCGAAATGTCTGGCCTGCTTTCTGTTGTTGCAAACAAAGGCTGATGAGGGCTGTGAATTTGAACCAAAACAGTAAAGTTGCTGACCAGAAAACAAAAAGCTAAAAGGAAGCTAAAATGCTCTGTATAACTGAGGGGAACTGCAGCAGAGTCGATTGATTTTTCTTTGTTGGTTCATCACCCTGAGTGACCTTTTCCATGTTACACATAGTAGTTCCATTCAGATCCATTTTTTATATGGAAATATCAATTAGAGCAGTTTTAAACTTTATGTTTTATCAATTAAAACACTTTAGACTGGGAAACAGTAAGCACAGACGTTATTAATGACGTTACGACTTTATTTTTTGAGGAAGCTTAAGAAGGCTAAATTCCCGTGCCAAGAGGAGCAATAGAAAGCATCCTGACTGGAAACATCGCTAACTGGCACGGGATGTGCATGGCCCAGGACCGGAGGGCTCTGCAGTGGGTGATTAAAACTGCTCAGAAGATCATTGGTACCCATCTCCCGAGCATCAGGTGCATACACAGAGCCCAAAGTATACTGAAGGACAGTATCCACCCCAGCCACAGCCTGTTCACCCTGCTGCCTTCTGGGAAGAGATATAGAAGTTTCTGATGCCACACCACCAGACTGCAGAACAGCTTTTCCCCCCAAGATCAGACCTTTAAACTCAAATTCATCCACAGCACCGCTCCACTGAATATAGTTTATTTCTGTTTACCATTTTTAATATTTATTTTATATTATTGTATATTGTCTGCTACATAGCAGAAGGGAGTTACAAACTCAATTTCACATTACAACCTGTTGCAATGTGATAAATAAATATCTGAGTGTACTAACTGGAGAGAAAATCAACTTTAAAGCATTTTACAACAAACAAGGGTTAAGAATCAGTGAGGCAAAAAAGAATAAACTAGTTAGACTGGTGTTTTCAATTCAATATCCTATTCTGGCATGAAAATTGCTGTATAGCAACGGAGTGTAATAAACCAATATAATGACATTGTCGTTAGAGATTAAAATGCCAAGCATAGCCAGAAGTACATTTAAGACTTTAGAGCGCCTTTCATATTCAGTCCTGGAAATATGAAACAGTCATCTCTGGCATGATTACGCCACTACAAAATGGCCTGGGGTGACCATGTGAATAGTTGCGTCAATATCCTTGACATCTTTTCGCCAGTTGCCCTCTGTTCCAATTAGCTCCCATGTCTCAAGATGTGTCAAGATAAGGTGTTAAAGCAACTCATATTTAATTAAAACATTTCACTGTAATAATGAATTATGATATTCTGACAATTTCCAAACAAATATGCATAAATGCTGTGAGCAAAACAGGACTTTAAGGACGTCATGAAATAAAGAACCACATTCAGATCCATTAGCACAGGTTTTATTGGCACCCGAACTGCTTGCAATCCAGCTTTGTTTTACATTTTAACTTGTTCTTTTCTCAATAAAGAACCAAACTCAAACCTCTGCTGGGTTCTAAAGACATGTATGATGTTTTGTGAGTCTCAATAGCCAAAACAATTTGCAACATTTCTGGCTGAACAATATTTTTAAGGCCTAGTTGTAGACCACTGTAAGGCTAAAGTATGCTGTAAAGTTTTTATCTCAATGAGAGTTTCAGCCTTGAGGAGACTTCTCATCACTCTCATGCTGAGCTCAAGATCAGGACATGCTTTTCCTTCACCAAGGCTGAACAATCTGTGGCCTCAGCATTTTTGAAACCACGGCTCCGGGTAACACACATTGACTATATAAACCCCTTCAAGTTCACCTCATAATCTCACATCTTTATTACTCTGCACACTCCCAACCTCACTTCTCATCTCTCGGTCCATTCAATTCTCCACTGACCAACCAAGGAGCGGTAACACATCATACAATGTCCGCTGCTAAGTGTTTGGTGTCTCTGATGGTGGTGCTGGTGGCTGCAGTGTGTGTGGTTCATACCCAGGAGAGGATTAAGATGTGTGGGAGAGAGCTGATACGTCTGGCCGTCTCATCCTGTGGTAACTCTCGGCTAAGGAGAAGCATCCCGGACGTGGAACTGGGGCAGCATCGATACATTTCTCACTGTAAGTACTTTATGTAACATTTTGAAACATGCATTGCACATGCATTAATGATAATAACAAGTGACTAAACACAAAGTCATATTTCTCAGTGATCAATTGACATTCATGTTTTTCAAAAAGTCTATACTGTATATTAAGAATCGAAATGAGGAAGAGCTTTATTGCCAATTTTACACATACGAGGAATTTGCTATGGTGGTAAGGTGCTACATGTAGACGAAGTTAAGAAAGTTAAGGTTGTGTTAGCCTTTATTGCTGCACTGTTTGTTAACTGCATACCCTTGTATCACCGAGTCAGCTCTGATGTTGGGCTATTTTTTCCCTTTGGAGTTTCCCAAGAAGTATCCAGCACAAAGCTACACATTTCCAAGTTTCTGGCTAAATCCCAGATGTCTGTCCACCTCCTCTGCACAGGGGAACAGGACGCCTCCACAGAAGAGCACCTGGCTACAGAGACGGTCCACACTGCTCCAGAGTCTGACGGGAAGAAGGATGTCTTCTCCTTGGCTCCTCACTGGTACTCTCAGTCATCTCGGATTAGACGAGCTGCTGGAAAAATATCTGACATTTGCTGCGAGAAAGGATGCAGTATAAAAGAGTTGATCCAGTTTTGCTAGATATAGCTTGCCAAATGATAAAATGTTGTCTTAAAATCTGTGCCAAAGGGGCCATTACCAAGTTGCCTGATCCTGAAGGATCATTGCTATATTTCCAATGATTTAGCATTCTGGCAAACAAAGATTCAATCAGTGACTATAGATAATCGATCATATTTAAAAAATGATTCACTATGCTATACTGCAGGACAAACGATAAAATCATAATGTACACAAGTTTTATTTTGTATTACTTTAATTTATTCTGTCTGTATTATTGTAGAAAAAGTTTGTATTGCATTTGCAACCCTGAAACTATGCTGCAATAAAGCTTTTGATGATTATTTATGAAGGTTTATTTGTTATCCACAATTCCTCAGCTTTTTGTGACGTGTTTCTCTATTTCATTAATTAAATGCAAAACAAAACTATCACTGCAAAGTCACAATATTGCAACCCAATTTCCTCATAATAACTACATCAAAGAGATGTTTTTGAAGTAAATTTAAAATCGGGCCTCCACCAAGTTGAGAAGCTTGCAAGAGTTCAGATGTTCTCAAGACTGTCCTGTCCACTGCACAGGTTTTTAAAGAAGGCAAAGCAAAATAAAACATTGAATTGTTCATCAGTGTCAGCCCCCACCCCCTTTCCAGGTGTATTGATGATGTGTTCTGGTCAAGAAACATCATGAAAATTGGTGGTGTGCCCCTTTAATAATTTCAGTAACTTCTGTCTTTTTACTGTTCCAAACGATGTGTCATAATAGGAAGTTTAAAATCACACTTTATACCCCATCTTTATTTGGTTGGATGGTTAGAGAAGAGACTGAAGTCTGTTTTTCAAGAGATGACGGGCCATAACTGCTGCACATTTAGGTTAAACATGCAAAACAAATATACCTACAATAGATATTAACATTGTGCCAGTGTTAATTGTAATTCATCTGTTATCAGTTAATTTCACAGTTTAGCAACATTGGTACAATAAATAGATAAACTATCCTGCAACACACCAGCCAACACTTTCAAACAACTGTCTTGAAAATCAACACTAAGTAACACTGTGTTCTTCCGATGCTAATTAAAATAATTCTACCTGCAGAGTAATCAACTTTGAAATTGCAAATGGGTCAATTAAACTACATTACATTTTCAAGTACAGACAAAATGAAGCACATGCACACACACATTCATAAGCTGTAAGACCCACACTCAAGTTATGCGACTGTTTGAGCTCAGTTTACAACACTGGTGCTCTCTCTGATGGTGATTGAGCCATTCAGCTCCATAATAACAGAAATGGTCTCAGTTCCTTGCACTGAGGAGTGTATAATTCTCTCAATGGATAATCAAATGTGGTGCTGATTATCTGCCACTCTATACTGCAGCCTTCACTAAATGGCTCTTAATAGCAAATGAAATCAGCCTACAGTGACTGATTGGTTAATTGGTTTTATTTTGGGGAGGGATGGATTGCGTTGTAAGTACAATTGGTTTTTGTGTAATTGGCTTTATTTGCTGCGTTATCAGACAAAAACCCGAAGATTAATTTTTAAATTTAGATCAAGTTGTAAGCAGATATGTTTGTAAGGTTTTTAACCACGGTTAGAGTGTACAGCACTGATAATATAACAGTTGGCTACGTGCTTCTGGCCATGGACTTGATTCTTGTTGTGCGAGTTGGACAGAGGATCCAAAAGCAACACTTAGGTGAAAGAGGATTTATTGAGGGAAAAAGGGGTTGAGGAAGTGGAGGTGAGGAGCACAGGGGGCCGAGGAGCAGGTAGTACCGAGGAGGCTGGGAGGGAACTGGGAGGCACCGGGGGCCGAGGAAGAGAGGATGCATGGGAGAAGTGACCGGGGGGGTTGGTGGAGGAGTGTGGTGGCAGGCTGACTGTGAGGCACAAGGGGGAACCGAGAGGGCACAGTGGAAGACGCCCGGGAGGAGAGGGCAAGTAGGCAAGCCCAGCTGACTCGACGGAGGACGGAGATGAGTGGACCTGGGGAAAGGCAGACAGGGTTAGTAACAGGGAAAACAGAGATGTGGACAAATAAACAGGACACTCACCTTCAGCCGGGTTCCCACCACAACAGATTCTATGTATAACCTTTTCAAACAAGAAACCAGTGTGTGTCCTTGAGCTTGTTGTATTCATGCATTTGGTCTATGTGCAATGAGTTAATATGACTGCATAGTAACTGGATAGTATGACATTTGAAGACATTCAAATGGAGAGTAATTAAATTTTTTATTAAATAAATATGGCGAAACTATATTTCACAGGTCAGTCATAATAATTTCCTCAGAATGTTCCTCAAAAGAATTGTGATTTGGTCCACTTTATATACTTCGAATAACAGAATTAATTACAAAATTAAAGAATAATTAATAAATATTCATTTGCATTTACAATGGAGTAGTTCTCTCGAAAAATTTCAGGGAAATAATCTTTTTCCTTATTATTAGACCAAATTAAATAATTGAAATCATTTGGAAATTATGAGTTGTAACCAAATATATACACATATTACACATGTATGCATTTTTAACAGTGTGCATGCATGGGATAGCAGGAGGCTATTTCACAGAGATTTTATGCAGTGCCTCATCTTTACCAGCAGAGAGTGACAGATATCTGAGTTCAAACGATATACTCTCTGCACTGCTTTTCCTCACTTGTCTATCACAGTCGACACTTGTGAAGAACCGGTTCTTTCTGCCAACTCAGTGGTGATACTGTTGAATTTAAATTTTACTGGATCAAGTTCATTCATTACAGTTGCGTTCAGCCAAATTTCCCCTCCCTTGACGATCAGTCTCTCAAAGCTCATTATTGTAAAATGCTCAGTCACCTCAAGTGATCCTTTATCTCCTTGTGACAAGAGGAGAAATCTGATCAGAAGACACTTCATTTCTAGGCCTCAGCCCACCATTACTCAGTGCCAACATGAGATGACAAACTGGCTGCATGGGGCCTCATTGATGGGCTCCTCTATGCCTGTTAGTCAACTGAAAAGCTGCTAAACCGGATATGGAAAATGAAATCAGAGCCTTGATCTCCCTTTCTGTCTTTCTATCTCTTTGTGTCTAGTTTTAGTGAGCATCAAAAAAGCAGCAGGACAGAATGGCGCCTTCAATGAGTTCCAGCAGAGCATCTACACTGCTCACACACATGCGCATGACAGGGAGAAGAGTGTGTGTGGTGGACTGGTGTCAATTTGCATGTAAATTAAACGACTATCAGTGCTCTTGCTTCCAACAGTAAAGGTGTCAAGGCTAAAGATGCTATATTTGGTGTATGTGTATCTATGGTTCATATTTTCATGTACATACATACATACAAATATGTCCATACGTGCATGTGCTCTAAGGGTATGTGTGTGGGTGTACAAGACCAGGAAACCCATTGTCCATGTCTATACTATACTTATTTTGTAACCAGTGAGCACATATGGGCATGGGAGTTGAAGTAAAGATGATGAATGACATTTCTATGTAACACAAACTGTCACATGTTTTGTCTAAGAGATCCCCAGTAACAGGGTGTTGTTGTGCATGCAATGTTTCAATCTTGAAACTTCAAACTCCAAAATGAGATTTCCACTGCAAGCTTGTTATATTTAACCTATGTGACAAACAGTAGATCTGATCTACTCTGCTTAAGTGAAAAATACATTGAGTGACAACAACATAAAATCTGAAATGGAAGATGTTTTTGTAGGTTCAGTATGTTTGCATTCACATAAATTCCAGTCCACCAAAACCATTGCCAGGTTCATGAATGAAGCATCTGCTACATCTATAGCTTTTGTACATGGCCTGACCTAGTGGCAGGGATGGGCAGTATTTATTCATATATTTCAAATTACAAAATAGGATAGCCATCGGCTCACCAGTATCACCTGTTGTGGCCAACATCTACATGGAGGAAGTACAAAGCAGAGCCATGTTCACGTGAGAGGATGTCAACAACAACAGTTTGGCTTTCTGGTACTCCGCTGTATACATTGAAAAGGACGGGAGCCTCCACATTGGAGTACACAGGAAACCAACACACACAGATCAATATTTACTCTTTGATTCTCACCACCCTCTGGAGCATAAGCTAGCTAGTTACCTTTGTGAAAATGGCTACAAGATCTAGGAAGAACACAAACACAATGGGTGATGAGGAAAAGAAGAAAAAACGCCACATCAAAGTGATTCCATATATGTTTGGAGTTTCAGAGAAACTCACATCCCTGTGTTTTTAAACACAAGAACACACTTAGACAGATACTGATGCACCTGAAAGACCGCACCCAAACACAAGAAAAGCAATCGAGTGTTTGCAGTCCAATGCAGAGAGGAATGCACAGACCTGTATATTGAGGAAACTTAAAAAACACTACACAAACACATGACTCAACACAGAAGGGCCAACGCCTCAGGTTGATTTTAACCCACCTAGGATAACTTTGACCTGGATGACTGAGAATCTTCTTAGACACTTTGTGAGAAGTCTGATGACATTTGATAGGTGCCTACTCAGTAATTTGCCCAGACTTGTTGAGATCAGAACAGAAAACCAATCCAGGCCTGAAGAAGAAGGTCAAGATGAGAAAGTGTTGCCATCAGCTTTTTATCAATTTTTTGCATAAATTGCAAGTTTTGGTGTTTTGTTTAAGTAGCCTAGGCTAACTCATTTACCAATTAACTAGCTAACTATTTGACCCGAGAAACAGCCCTTACAGTTAATGTTAGCTTGCTACTTTCAGCCTATGTTAAGTTTTCGTCGGTTGTGCACGAAAAAAATTGTTTCAGATTTGTTTGTACAACATTACTTTATAATGCCACAAAATGGTGTAACTTGTTATATGCACACACCTGTGCCTTATTGTCATTAACATTGTCGTGCCATTTAATAGCAGATTGTCAACCCATCCACCACTCGTGTTTGTTGTAGGGGCTGTTTTGTGAAAATTTGTTCCCAAATAAGTCTGCTATTGAACAAGACTGGGTGGGCTCTACATCTGAAAATGCACACCTGAAAGTTATTCTCCCTCTTTTGCAAGAAAGAGAGAGATTGGAGGCAGAGATAGCAGCATGGAGAGGTAGAAGCCTATGAGGGGAGACAAAGAAGAGAAGAGGTGAGGGAGTAGTGCTGGGCTAAGCTTGTATCCCTTAACTGGTTGCATATGTCAGATTTATTGCATGACTGATTAGGTTGCTGGCTGACATTGTCCACTTAATCAACTGGTGAATGAATAGATCAAATAGTCCAATAGATAGAGGGTTTGCAAAATGATTTCATGGTATCTTGGAAAAGTATTTTTGGTGTTTTTGAAATATTATTTTAAAATACATTTTGATGTATCTTTGCCCATACTTGACCAAGAGGGGCACTACAATGTGCTGCTTATTTGTCTGTATGTCACCCATAACATCTTAATTGCCAAAGCTTGAATTTTAATTACTTTCACTTGACTTTATGTACATTATTGTCATCTTCAGTAACATTTCTGAGATATGGAAGCTTGCTTTTAGCTTTCACGTCATTGGGCAACTCAAAACATGTGTTTGATTATGTCATGTGAAGGTTTAAAATAATGTGAATTATATATATATATTAGATTTGATTACCTTGAACAGTGGATTTTGGCTGAAGTGAGGCGCTCATGTTTGTTTGGTTCTCAGGTGGGTTCATGTTATTAGGCACAGATTGGCTTTATTGGAACAGGAAAAAACACACGTTTTCCTGTCAAAATTATGACTTGGATGTTGACAAGAATGCTATCATTGATAACTAGTAATTATGGTAACTCCGATGTGTTACGGACCCCCCCTTCCTGCTTCCTTCTCCTGCAGGAGGCTGCAGGCAGGGAGGCTGATTGGGCTGGGCAATCACCTGTGCAGCTCTACCTTCAGATCTTATTTAGCCAGGACTGACTCTCTCCTCTTAGGAGATATAATAAATCATACCATTGGCATGCAAACCTGTTGTCTCAGCTCCTTTTTTGTCACAGGCTAAGAGCTGGCTTGTGACAGATGTGACATGAACTGCAATACTGCTCATTCTATGCTTGATCCAGATACCAGGACATATTCCACTGTGCAACATAGAGCAGCAATATAATATTTCTTTTTTCATTATTACAAGGTTTCCTTTATAAAGGGTTTATGTGTTATAACTTTTGGTTTATTGATGTTAAATAAAAAATGAATCAATGCTATATAAATCAGTAAGAACATGTCAAAAAGACAACATGTCAACAACCTGCCGCTTACTTTGTCTTTTTAGCTGGTTGTTCATCAGGAAGAACCCGCCAAAGGACAGTTTGACCACCTACCTTCTGGAAAATCTAAAAGGTTCTTTTTTTAACAACAGACACTTTTGATTTGTGATAGCAGGAAAAGTACAGGTGTGACGAATAACGCCAACAAAAGGTTCCCTGTTTCCTGCAACATACAATTTAGATACATAAAGTAACATATTTTCTACTTATTGTCCCGCTATGGATCTGTGTCCTGGTGATGACACATTTACCTTTGTTCATGTATAGGAAGCATTCACATCCAATCCGGGGTTTCACATTAAACGCATGTGAACTCTGATGACGTCATTTCGACTCCAATAAACTAACGGACTCACCATCAACTGAATGTAGTGCCGCTTCTAGCTCTAAAAACCCCACAAAGGACATCTCACTGGCCACTAACATCATCCAATATATCAACATCCACCATCTCCTACTGTGATGTGACGGGTCTGTCTTCTTCTCTGATTGACAACAGTTACACGACCTGACCAGCAGTGACAGCTTCAGGAGCATCGTGTGATTAGACGCTGCTCCCAGGGGACGAGGGAGAGGAAGACAGATCCACTGACAGAGCTTTCTTGTTGTCCATGTGCTCTGATCCCCTCACATCTACCTAGCTGCGTCGGGATTGCGTTTCACTATCTTTAGCATCGTTACAATTATATTCTGCAAAGAAACCAGGGAAAACAGTGGTAAATTAGTACATCTATATGGTGTTATTACTTGATGAAATGCAGCTTTATATCATATCATTGAATGTTTCAGCCATATTCATTATCATAAACACGCCGAAGATTATGTAATAAATTACAGGCTGCCAGGAAAACCTTAATTTTAAGTAGACTCATAAATAAAATGATTAGAGTCGTGTCAAAAACCTCTGTACTCAGTCTATGTGTTTTGGAGTTTATTAAAACAACTTACAGTGTTTAACTCTCTGAAGAGTGATGCTGTGGTTCAGACGGCAGATGGTCACTGGAGGGCGTGTTCTCATCTCATCCTCATCCTGCTCTTTGATTGTCCTTTTAGCATTTGTTTTTACATTCAGTGCCACAACATTTTTATAGTACATTTGTCTGTGCAATATCACATATTTGGCTCTTCAGATGTATTTTGCTATTTTTGCCTTCTCTACTCTAGAACTCAATAATTGTATACATACATCAAGGCTAGTTTTACTCATCTCCCAGAATTAAAACTAGGAAGGAGACGTGGCCAATAAAATAGTTTTTGGGGGGTCCTGTGTATTAATAGGCCATGACTATATAGTGTCAGTTTTCAGTTTTATTCTTCTACAACTTATATGTCCTCAGATTTCCACAGTTGGTGGCCTCTGAACCAAAGCCAATTATTACCTCAACATTCTTAATTACTTCCTCGCCCTATATGGTCTTCCATATGCATGTCATTATATCCGCTTAATTTGTCCAGTGAAAGAATAGAACCACATGCAGCAACACACACACATACAGAGACATTAACTACCACTTTGTCACAACCTTGGGGCCACTGAGAGGTGGTGAAGCTGAACTAATAGAGCTGAGCTGGTAGAGGGCAGTGTGGCACCAGCAGCCACTAAACCGACTGCAGGCGAGTTTTCTGCAGCTGCAGAGCTCATTGCCACAGCGCAGCACAGATAATGTGACGCTCTTTACTGGTGCTTACAGACAAAACTGATGGCATTGCATGCTGAATCACTGAGCATCTATAGTTTGTTTTGCATTTGAAATACTTTAACCCAGAACCATGGCAATCAATTAAAGGCTACAATACTGTAGACCAGTATGGATTTTGCTCAAATTTGATAACTGACAGTATATTTAAAAGATTTAATAGATAAGCACATCCCATAATTTGTCTTAAAATGGATATGTCCTCATACATCATCCCTTTTTTTGTTTTAAAACATCCCTTACGTACCATTTAGGAGTCTCACCTTTATCCACAGCATGTGTTTTGTGTGTGAGTTGGTACTTTTTAGTTTTGTCTCAAAAATTGATGCTGTTTAATGTTGTTAAATCAATGAGTTTGACACCCTCAGAGACAGACTTGTTTCTTCTGCTGCTCCTGCTGTTGTTCTTCCTAAAACATGCAGTCTCAGTCCTCAACCTTCATGTTCTCAGAAACTGTGCAAGATTACACACTATTATACCTTCTTTCACCCTTTTCCTTTCTTAATCTACTGGTAACTTCCCTCAAGTAACCCTGCACTTCACCTGGCAGTCTTACGTATGTGATGCAATGATTGCACGTTGACCCATGGAGCTCTGCTGTTACTCTGATGTTGTAAGTCATGGGTGTCTTGTGAAGCTGGGGCCGACTGGAGTAAGCACCAAGACTCAGTTGGTTTTGTGTATCTTTCATGTGTTTGTACATGTATGTGCTAGCTCTGACACACTGAGGGAGGATCAACCTCATCCAATTGCAGCGGACAGCGTGACTAGTGACACACAAGAAACTAGAAAATTAGACTTCAGTGCAATGAAGAAAGAGAGAATTGATAAAGATGGAAAAGTGTCTGTGTGTGTGTCTGTCTGTGTGTGTGTGTGTGTGTGTGTCTGTCAAAGTATGTGAGTAAAAAGAAAAGTGTAAGAGGAGAAAAATGAGACAGAGAGAGAGCGACAGCAGCAGAGACAGCAGTGGGCAGGCCCAGGAAAACGATTACGCCAGCTGCTCTTTCACAGCTGCTCCCAATTGCTCCATTGCACCTCTTTCTCTCCGTCCATCACTCCCTTCATTTCATCCCTCCATACGCTCACGCGTGACTGGACTGTTTGTAGCTGATGTGATGTTGACAAAATACTCCTGAGTGGTGAGTACTTGGCTTGTGGGGCAAACTGCTGTGACGATGCAGGATAACTCCAAACTTGATGGGATGCTAAAACATTGTCAGTGAGTTAAATAATGTAGTGAAGAAATCACTGCTTTTATGGTTGCCTATCACTTTTTATCATATGCATCATATTTTATCATTGCATTTTTAAAATATGTGCTTATTTAACAAATGAACAAATATTTTTATAAATCCTTACTCTACAAAGTGCAAACACACACACACACACACACACACACACACACACACACACACACACACTCACACAAATTGCATCCTTGTTGGCTTACCTCCTTTGATATTCCTGTCACTGTTATCAGCCGGGTCTATCTCAGGGGGATGTTGCTGTTAAAACATGAGCAGTTCACTCAATACACTTCACCTAATCAAAGTTAAGCTGCTTGTGTAACTTCCAGTTCTCCCCATCAGGGTGTGGGATGAAGACAGAATGAGAATGCATGGGTTTCCTGGCAAAGCAAGAGGTGTGTGTGTGTGCATGTGTGTTTGAGTCTGTGTATGTTCTGTTTGTTTTGTGTAGCACACTATGGGCTTTGTTTGCCTCTCTCTCTCTCTCTCTCAATTTCAATTCAATTCAAAATAGCTTTATTGGCACGAATGTATAACAACAATATTGCCAAAGCATCATACAAACTACATAAGAACAATCAACCCCATACATTCATCAAACAAGTAATTAAAGCTGTGTGTATGTGTGTGTGTGTGTGTGTGTGTGTGTGTGTGTGTGTGTGTGTCTCAGTGGGATACCTAAGCCGAGAGGAGAAGAACAACAGCAGGTACAGTATACAGCTTTTTAAGAAATTGAAACACTGCCTCTCACCTCACCACCAGTAAGTGGACCCATTACCCAATGCATACGCTAAATGGTTCAGGGTTTGGCCCCCTCTGTGGTAAGTGTACAATCAAAGAGGGTTCAATTGAATCTGGCAGGTGTAACTGAAAGAAAAGGACATGGGCACAAGTTATTTGTCTTGTTTTTCTGCTTTACAAAAAATATACAGCTTTAATAGTTATTCTTTAGTCTCACATTCAATCTTCAAATCTAATTTTAATTAAAAACAATCTAAATCTATTCTTACACCTTTGCATAATTTATGTGGTGCAGGACGCCTCACAACATAGTAACTACTTGCAGAACGTGCAGTGGCTCCCTGTCAAACTGGCTGGTTGAAATGAAATGTTTTGCCTAGAATTTTGTCTTGCCTGTACAAAGTAGCTATATGTTTAGATTTGCCTATCCTTGCTTCAGCTGTATATGTGTATTGTTCTCTACAAAGTCATTAGAAACTGGAGTCAGATTGCTTGTATGCCTAAACATGCTCATTCAATAAAGAGGATTCTGATTATGAATCATATTTACTGACTGCTGTTGCTGTTTGCTGTTGTCGACTCTGTTTTGACTAAGCCTTGCAGCAGATTTCTGCACTGGTACAAAATTGCACTGATACAGTATCACAATTATTAATATACACTGACTAGGTGATTATTTGCCTCCATTTTACAAGTTTGCAATACTTGTGTAAAATAAACAATAGAAATGTGCTTTTATGCTGTATTATGTTTTGTCTTCTACATTTTTTTGTTTGATAGCACTGTATTAATATGAGGATGGTAGAGAGATGCAGAAAAAATACTAAAAAATTACCATTTTTATGTTATTTAATTTTTCTCCTTCCTTGATCAGAGCAGATTGAGTGTTAAAGCAGCATCACCTGCAGCTCCGTCGACAAAATGGGCTCTCTTGTGTATGTTTAACTTTCACCACCTACAAAAACCCTTAAGCAGAACCTCCCCCCAACCTCTTACTCATTTTATGTAATCTTCT